AAAACCCTAATGTCAAGAAACCCCTAGTTTTGGAGTTTTGTCGAGACCCACGTTAAAACTGTTAATTGAACTTTAAATTATACTCGGTAATGCCTTGCGATTAACTTAATGCAGTATTGGACTTAATGAATTAAGTACTTAAGGGGTTAAGTGTGGAACACTGACCCTAGTTATCATTTATGTGGAAATCCTAGAATCGGGAAGCCCTATTTTTGACAATGATCGGGCGCGTATGTGGGCTATTGCTTGGATCATTATTATACCCGAGAATGACTAAGTCAAAACTTAATCAGTCCTACCCTTAGGTGATTAAGTTCTTAATGGGTTAAGTGTCCTTACTTAGCCCTAATCGTCATTTTATGTGGAACCCTTATCATCATTTCATGTGTGGTAGTCACTGTTGCAAGTGACTGACTTGTGATCGGTTATTGACTTAAGTATCTTCCTGTAGGTGATTGGAAGTGAGTTGAAGTTGGTATAGTTATTCGTTACTACGGTGGTTACCTATGCATATATCGAGGTGAGTTTCGCCTCATTGTACCGCGGGTCGAAGGCACCAATGTCGGCCCACTAGTTTTGATTATTAGTTAGTAGATGGATGCATTAGGGACTGTATATAGTCATGTAGGATAGACTGGGGACTCTTGATCTAGGCCTTTTTACATGTTCCTTGTTTGGTTGTGGTTCTAGAGTAGGATCACCTGTTTGGGTGTCTATCTCACTTATGATTATATACGGTCATGCATTCCTTGGATCGTTGATATTTAGTATGCTGATATGTTGTAGTGATCTATTAGATATGTGTTCCGGTATCGAGTATGCTATTATGTTGTAGTGATCTACAGTGATTTAATAGATTTGTATTATGGTATCGGGTATGTTGTTATGTTGTAGTGATCTGCTAGATCTGTATTCTGGTATCGAGTATGTTGCTTTGTTGTAATAATCTATAGAACTGTATGTTATCTGTGTTTGCTGGTTATCATCTATGGAGTGCCCATAGGGATTGTATGTAGTCATGTAGGATAGCCTGAGAACTCTTGGTCTAGGCTTTATTGCATGTTCCTTGTTTGGTTGTGGCTCTAGAGTAGGATCATCTGTTCGGGTGGCTATCTCACCTCTGGGTACTTATGGTTACGCATTTCATGGAGGTTTGCTGGTAGTGGGACTGTGGTGTTGTGAGAGGACTAGTAGGCGGTAGTGAGCTGTATAATTGTTTTTTGTATGTATTATGTGCCTACTTATTCCTAATTGTTTATATGTCGACATATGGTACTAGTGAATTGACGTGGCCCTGCTTTGTGATGTAGGCCAAGATACCGGGTGCGGGTCGGCTGTAAGCCGAAGGCATAGAGGCTCGGGAAGAGCAGTTAGGTTGAGGCGGTAGGCCAACAAACCATGGGTATTCCATCCCAAGGATGATTGGACCCGTTGTATATTGGCATTCCAACCTGGAGTATTCCATCCTACGGATGACTGGACCCAGAGGTTAACTGGGCGTGGGGTATTCCGACCCGATGGTTGACTGGACCCGACATGTTTGATTGTATATGTTATCCATTTATGCGGTGGTACTTTGGGGGAAACTCACTAAGCTTTATGCTTACCTGGTTGTTTATTGTTTTAGGTATCATCGGTTTCTATGGGAAGGCGAAGGCGGGGACTGTACACACTCATCAACAGCATTGACGATTTCGCATTTTCTATGATACTCTGATTTTTAATAAATGTAATTTGGAATAAACGGTTTTCTTAATAATGGATTTATAAATTGGGAAGTTTTACCTTAATAAAAATGAAAAATTTTGGTTGTGAAAACGGGACGTTACAATTAGCAACAACTTCAAAACTAGGGCTCGGCTCAGTATTGGAATCAAAATGAACTAGTATAAAAGAATCCTTCAAAACTAGGGGCCGTCTAAACTCTTCATCCTTCAATTGCCAATATGCATACACAATTACTTTTCCCCTTTGCATAAGTACACCTAAAGCCTTTACTAGATGCATCACTATAAACTACAAAGATATATGTTCCTTCGGGCAATGGTAAAATGGGTGTTTCACATAACTTTTGTTTCAATAGGGAAATGTTCCTTCTTGTTTCTTGTCCCACACGAACTTGAATTCTTTTCTTGTCAATGATGTGAGAGGTACGACTATACAAGAAATTTTTTGAATAAATCGTCAATAATAGCCGAATAGACCAAGAAAACTTTGAACTTCAGTTGGTGTTTTCAAGGGTTCCTATTTCATCACCTCTTCAATATTTGATGGATCAACTTTAATACCTTCTCAGGAGACGACATGTCCTAATAATTGAATCTCCCGTAACCAAAAGTCACACTTTGAAAACTTAGCATAAATGTGCTCTCTTTTCAGGACTTACAATATTTCTCGCAAGTGTTTTTTGTGATTCTTTTGTTCTTCGAGTAAATAAGGATGTTGTCTATGAATACAATCACTAACCTGTCGATAAAATTCTTACACACATGATTCATTAAGTCCATAAAAACAGTCGGTGCATTGGTTAAACCAAAAAACATAACCAAAAACTCAAAATACATGTGTAACGAGTTAAAACATTGTCTTTTTCAATGTCGTTTACTTTTACTTTGGACTTTGTGATAACCACAACATACATCACTATTTGAAAAGAAATCATCCCCTTGAAGTTGATCGAAGATATTATCTATTTGGGGTAAGGGTTAATGATTTTTTATCATAACTTTGTTGAGCCCGAGGTAATCTGTACACATACACATTGTATTGTCTTTCTTTTTTACAATTAATACAAGGCTCCCCATACTGAGGAACTAGGGAGTATGAAACTTTTATCAAGTAGTTCCTGGAATTGGGACATTAATTCCCACATTTCGGTTTGAGGGAGATGGTAAGGAACTTGAGCAATATGTGTAGCTTCCGAAATAAGATCAGTTCCAAAATCGACTTGCCTTTCGGTTGAGTCTTCAAGAAAATTCAGGTAAGTCCTGTATTATTGTTAGTTCTTCAATATTTTATTTTTCTTTTCTCCCATCCAACACATATGCAAGATAGGACCCACATTCCTTCCATAGGTTTCGATGCACTTTTGTCACCGTTATCAGAATTTTTTTTTTTTTTTTGTTTTTCGCCATATACATAAACTTTGTTTCCATCGGGGGTTTTAAACGGCACGAACTTTCTTCCACATAAAATCTTTTCATTATTAGTTCCAAGCCAATCCATGCCGAACACCACGCCAATCTCCTTAATTCCCATCGGCAACAAACTGACACTAAAAATATATTTATGTCGATGTCTATTGTGCGTGGTTCATAAATGTTATGTACGGTTATAATTGCATGTTAGCAATTTATATTACGTAAGCATCATTTAGAACTATAAGAGGCAAAGTTAACTTCTCACCGAATTCATACGACAAAACGAACAATTGGCACCTAAATCGAATAAAATGTGTGTCCGTAAGGAGTTTACCTGTAATATACCTAAGATCACATCATGAGTCTCTCTAGCTTCCTCTGCGGTTATTTGAAACACTCTTCCTTTCACTTTCGGTTGGTCATTCTTCTTATTGGTTGTGGAAATAAGAGCTTCAGTTCTTTTCTGTGGGCAATTGGTACTATAATTCTTCTTCTCGTGACACGAGAAAATTTTGACATCCTTGGAAACTTGGGATCTGCATTCAGTAGCTTTGTGCCTGGTTTTTGCGATTATGACATTCCAATGCTTTGTATCGACATTCCTCATTTCCCCTACATGTATTTTCCCACAACTATTACCCTTCTTTTCATCCCTTCCCGTAAAACTCCTTTTTGCGATCCTGGTTGAATAGCCTCCCTTGGATGATCCAGTTTAATTGTTTCTCTTTTGAACGTTGCTTTATCATATCCATATCTCAAGATGTAATAATTGTGTCATCGAGTGGTGTGGCCTTCTTCACCTTAATGTAATACTTCGTGGGTAAGCCTTTAACATAACGACCAATCCTTCCTTTTTTCAGAGGGTAAGTGATCTCCGACAAAATGAAACATATCCGTAAATTTCTTTGTTTACTCGTCCACCAATATATTGAAATTTCTTTGTTTACTCGTCCACCAATATATTGTCTTTACGTAAGTCGAAGAATTATTCTACTAGTTTCTGAACATCGTGGTTAAGGAAAAACTTTGCTGATAGTCTTGCCATAAATTCTTCCATTTCCAATCCAAAGCTCAGTCACCTCTACTAATATTATACAAAGTGTTCCACCACACGAGAGCATCCCCTTTTAACATTAGAGATGCATATCCCACTTTCTTGTTATTCTTGTAAAAGAATTTATATCATCTCTATCGGTTCTAGATTTCCTTCATCACTAAAAAGACAATATCTTACAAACTATTGCCGGTGTTTATTTGATGCTAACTCCAAGTCATCTAGGCTCGTTTTATTTCAAAATATCTTACATGAGGTCAACATCTACTAAACTTCTGCACCTTAGACAATGTGTGTATGTCTTGCGTCCAAAATAGTTCCCATGGTGAATCCTCGATCCAACTAATACTATTCAAAAATTACGGGATATCATACATCTATTTACGAATATAACTGAATCCTCTTTACATTTTGTAGCAAAAATTCAACATGAAATCACCTATACGCCAAGAACGAAATTGATCGAAGAAAAGATGAAAATCTAACATGTATGCTGGTCCCAATGACAAATATACAAATTTGAAGTACATGAATTTTGCAAAAAAGCCATCATTTGTTTAAGAGAATTTTATTAATTATCAACCTTTTTTGTTAGAATTTCGAACTAGTTCTTTCTTTATTTCTTGGTACGATTTTCCGGCTACACGTAATAAAATTTCCGCATTGCTTCATAAATTTTCTACCTAATCCCTTATTTTCTAACATCGTCATTATCTCCTGAAATTCTATTTTATGTGTTCATTATGTAACACTTCTTTTTTTGGTCATTAAGGTCAATACCTCAAAACACAAACTACATTAAATACACATCCAAAAATTCCTTTAGCAAACAACAATACATACATAAACAAATACCACTAGTCTTTTCCCATAAATAAACTTGTTTGGAAAATAAAGTTACATAAATAAAATAATTATTTAAAAAGGACTGACAAGGCCAGCTAATTTCAACAAAGGCTCAGGGCAAAGTCGTCTACGTGGAGGTGCCATTGCATCGTTAGCAAGTGCTTCCGTATCACCCGCATGTAAATAATCCACTATGTAATCAAATAGCTCCTCCTTCCCACCTCTTAAAGCATCCTAAATTTATTAAATCCAATTTCAATTTTCTTTTTTAAAAGAAATTTTTTTTTTGTAACAAGTGGTAGAATAAATGTTGCAATATTTTTAATTATAGGAATAAAATAAACTTACTTGAATAAATAAATCTGTATGAGTTTTTCCCTCATACAGTATTAACTCAGCTCTTGCTCCAGCTCTCTTCAACGCATCTACATACGTTATACTACAAAACAAATACTATTACAAAAAAATCTTTCCAATTATAGTATGAATCCATACATTTTTCAACGTACAATAAAAAAAACAGAAAGTACAATAAATGAAAGCACACCTTGCATCTGGTGGAATTGAAAAATCTTCAGTTCCATGAAAAAGAACAATATGAGGAAGGAGAGGAACAGCGTTTTTAGCAGTTGAATCTTCAATAAGGATTTCAGGAGAAAATTCTTGAAGAGATTCATCCCCCTCCATTATACTATTTTAAAAAAAAAATTAATAAATAAATAAAAAGATAAAAATATAGAATCAAGAGATTTAATTGATATAAAATTATTTAACACCTTAGAAATATAGAGCGATAGAGGCCTCGTTGATCAAAATGGTCAACTAAGTTGGTCAAGTTGTACCTATAAATATATAACAAGAAATAACAATTAAACAAAACAATTTTTTTTCTTAATAAATTGGTGGATTGAAAAAATCATACTTTCATTTCTTCTTGTTTCAACATTTTATTTTGAAAAAATCTATCCAATTATTAATATATAATTAAAAGCAACTAGCCTATGTATATTTTTGGGTTTTAGACTTTGTTCACAAAAGTTTCGTATGTTACCAAATTTGCTCCTTGTGTAGAAAATAAATTACGAAAGTTGTCCATTTAATTTACAGAAAACGTCCCTGTATATTTACGTTTGGGTTTTAGACTTTGGCCACAATACTTTCATATGTTGGCAAATTTGGTCCCTGTAATTTACAGAAACGTCTCTACACATTTTTTTTATACAGAAATGGTCCGTGTGTTTAAATAGTATACTCTTTGGTCCATTAGTTTAAAAAAAATTAAAAAATAATAATAATAATAATAATGTCATCATCCAAAATATTAAAAAATAATAATAATAATAATAATGCTATAATTGGGTAGATTTTTTAAACTATAATGTCCTAATAAGAAAAAAGATACAATACCTTAATAAGAAAAAAAAATAATTGAAAGTACAATGTTGTAATAGGAATAAAAGAAAGTAGGATGCTATAAATTTAAAAAAAAATGGAAATGGAAATAGAAGTATAAAATAAGTTGCTATTTCTCACCCTCCAGATAAACCAAAATAAGCTTTTATCTGAGAGACACTCCAGGATGTGGGCCCTCCTTTAGATTCTATAATCGCCTGCTTCAAGAGTACACAAGAAGATATATGTGCCCCAGCAGATTGCCCCATTAAATATATCCTGCATTAAATATGATGATGTAAGCATGATGTCATCAGGATTTGGCTCAACTCGGTCCGAGTCAACCCCCGACTCGCTATTTTTGACCGAGTCACATGTAAAAGCAAGTCACACTTCCGAGTCAACTCATGACTTGACTCGTACTCCTTTGATAACTATGCATCAAGTATTAATAGCTTATTATATATATATATATATATATATATATATAATATATATATATATATATATAATTACCTATTAGGATCTCCTCCATAATTAGCGATATGATTACAAATAAATGAAATTCCTCTAGAAACATCTTCAACCATATCACTGATTGTACCCTGGGGAAAGTTCCTACATGAAAGAACTATAGATTCAAATTTGAGATAATTGAAAAGGTTAAATGAAAGAAATAGCAATGTAATTTCGTTGATGTGTATATTATAGCATCCTGCTTTCATAGATTGCTCAAAGTATAATGTACAAATAAGGAAAAACAAAAAGTATGATGTTTTAATAAGAAAAAAGGTTGAAAGTATAATGTTGTAATAGAGAGAAATGAAAAGCATGATGTTATTTCTTGCATTTAGCTACTAGAACTTTTGTTTAACAAATTTTAACAAAATCAGCATCATCATCATCATCATCATCATCATCATCAAGTATGATGATGTCATGAAAAGATTTATTTAGAAAGTGTAGTTTGATAAATGATAAATTGTAAATATGATCACCTGTAATCAATGCATGTCACAATGATATCTCTTTCTGCTAATTGAAATCCTAATAGGGACCCCCACCCTTTATATCTACAAAATCAAAACAAACATAAAAAGGTTAATAAAGCACAATTTTATAATTTAAAACTTGAATAAAACTAAAAAGATTATATATATTTCTTTTTTACCCTATGATCCATGCTCCACCAGTCACAAATACAATAACTGGCTTTGGGCTATCTATGTTTTTGGGCAAGTATAAATCCAGCCTGAAATATATATTTTTTTTTTGCTGTTATAAATAATATATTTAAGGTAAATGAAAAAAAAAAGATGAATTGTGTTAATATATGATAATCTGAATCAAGATTTTACATTACCTGTTTCTAGGTTGATCTCCATAAACTATGCTTCTTCGAATTTGGGTTGAAAAGAAATACTGATGTAAAACTGTAAAAAGGAATAATTAATCAAATTTGGATTCTGAAACATATGTGAAAATTAGATTATATAAAGAGAAAAGGTTAACAAAAAAGTTAAAAACAGACCTTGGAGGAAACCAGGCATTAGCAACATTGCATAAAGACCTAGGGCAAGAAGCCTTGAGATCCACCTTCGGCCTACCCTGATTGAAAGCAAATGATTAGGAAAAAAAAAATTGAAATAATAAATACATATTACTGAATGTAACAAAAAACAATAATAATATGAAGTGACATTAGAAGGATTTGCTCAAACAATAGTAAAATTTCAAGAAAACTAATCATTTATTGTAGGTATCTTGATATAATAGCAATCTCACCAAATCAAGACATGTATATAGTTGAACAACTAATTAGGTACTCTTGTGTATTTTTTTAAACTATACATTGATTTGGAAGAGTTAGGTAATTGCATTCCATAGTAGTTATAATGTTATATCCTTATAACTACTGTTTGTATTCATATGTCCACATGGTAGCATGTTTCATGTTCAATATGGAACAAAATCACATCAACTGATCACTGATTTTGATTTCAATTCCAAACTATTGCCAAAAACTAATCTTATTTCCTTCATTTCAGATCATGATTTGTCAAGATAAGAATCGTAATGATCTATGATAGATGCCTCTAAATCAGAAAAGTAACAGAATACCAAAATCTACACAACTGTGTGAGTGTTTACTTGAGAGATAGTTTGTGAACCTAACTCAAATTAAAGAACACTGAATTAAGATGTCTCAGTGATTCGAAATTGTATGGTGTAAATGCCTAATTCAATTGGAAAATGTCTGATACTATAACAGTAGCGAGAAATCACAGAGCTCTACGAAAACGAAAGACAAACATAAGCTAAAAAATTACAACTGAAAAGGATTGTATTCCATCAATCCGATACTAATTGCAACAAACGTGGCAACTTGTTCTTCTGACATACAACTATCTCAAATCTAATATTTCTTTACACAAAACTACGAATCAAAGATCTCGAAACTGCGTAGTTGCAATAAAACGATGAAAGGAGTAGAATTGTAGAACCCTAAATTCAAAAACAAAGAAATTGTACCCGAGATAGCGAAGAAGAGTGAACGCAAGGCGAGTAATCAAATACGTTTCACTAGCAGCATGTCCGATCTCACGACCGAACGATTGTGACCGGCATAAATTAGGGGAGGTCTTCGCCGACGTTGCATTAATGGCGGTTCTCCGCCTCGCGGCGGTGGCAGGATTTGTCGAAGTGGTGGTCCTAGAACGTAGGGGGGAATCAACGGTGTCTGTGTTCTTCATGTCTTCTTGAGTAGATGTGGTTGTGGTTGTGGTTTGTTCAGCCGGAAAGAAGCCAATCGGCGACGTTGAACTCGCCATTAGCAAATTTTCCGGCAAGATAAGATTTGAATTTGATAAAAGTTTATTGAAATGGAAGGAGGACTGTACACCTGTTGTTTGGGAGACGGTGACACGGAAGACACGGTTCTTTTCTGCAGGCGCTGTAGTGTCCGGTATGTTCCAGTGTTTGTAAGAAATCGGATTCAAATTTAACCCGAAAAAACTAATTAAAAAATGTAGCTTTTGTTTGTATCGAATATTCGAAAAAATTGTTGTATTTTATAAAAGATTTTGGTATTCTTATTCCTTTTGAAATTCTTTTGTTTTTATTGTTGTATATGGTTATATATTCGTAGATGGAAAGTTGTTTTTTTAATTTTTATTGGAAATAATTGTAAAAAGATGTAGGGTGTGTTCGGCAAAACTGACTTGTAGTGGGTAATAATTAAAAAAACAATAGTGTAGTGTAGAGGTGAGCATTTGCACCGGATCGGACGGGACCGGCTTTTGGACCAGACCGGTTTTACAAAAATTGATGGACCTTGGACCAAGCATGTTAAGTCTTACCAGGTCCGGTCCCGATTATTAGACATAAAAGTGAACATTTTAAATAGACAACCAGACTCTTGGACCAAACTTGTTTTGCGGAAATTGATGGACTTTGGACCAAACTTGTTAAAGCTTACAAGGTTCAGGTCGGGTCTCGTCCAGATATTCAAATGCTTACCTTTAGTTTAATAATTTCATATCTTATATTGTTTTCATAATCAAAACATAAAACCTCTTCTTACTAAATTTGATTCACAAATTATTTTATTATGAATTATTAGTTCTTAGTAGACTCTTTTTTCTATTATTAATCATATCAATAATAAGAGAGTCAACAATTTTTTTTAACATTTGTATTATTACCCATTTTCAATAAGCAGGTGTGTAACCTTCAGTTTAGACAAAAAAAAAATATGCATTATATTCAATTTTCTCGTTTGCTAACTCAAGGTTATACGTCTACTAATTTGAAATTAAAAAAATTAAAAAATTTGTTGACTCTTTAACTATTGATAATGCTTTTTTTTTGAACGAATGTATGTATTAAATAGAAAGCTAGCAAAACAAAAACACTTAGTTCATGAGGGGATTTTTGATGGAATTTATAAGTTACAAGTTCTATGTATATGCGGAAAAATCATTTAAAAAACTTAAGGGTACATGCAACATAATGGATTTATGTCTTTACACATTAATAGCAACATACTATGAAACTACCAGAACCTTATGCTATAATCGAAATTTGCAAGTTAGGGTTACATACATTTGATATTGTTATTGAAAACATTACCCTTGATTCCCTTGTAGAACTTCAAAAAAGCTTAGCACCAAAAGTATGATGCATCTAATGGCTCACACCCAAACCCTAGAAACTAGAAGACAATTGAAAAGAGATGAGGAGAGGGAGAAATTCGGCTAGGGCTTCACTGGAGAAGAGATGATCGAAAATACAATGGTTAGAACCCTTTATAAAGTTGCATGGAAACCCTAGAAGCCCTAGATTTAAACATAAAATAATATTATTTTCAAATCAGTAATTATCTAGTTTCCTTATATTAATTGGAGGCTTCCAGAATCCCTTAAAGGGATCCCGAATATCGTCCACCAATGGAAGGTTCTGGATCTTCTCCACTGCTAAACTATTAAGCAATTACAGGTCAGCCCTTGTGCCTCTAATTAATTACAACTAACCCCAAATTAATTCCAAATTAATTCTAATAAACTTCTAATTAATTTATTAATCATAATAAATTAACAATTAATAATTTATTTCCTCTTTCTCCAAATGTCATTGTAACATCTTTAAAAATTAAGCCAAATTTAAACTTTTTTTAAAAAAAACAGTTAGAAACCAATAGTTATTACAAATTTGTTTTCAAAATAGTTTCATATCAAAGTATCCCAGAAACATAGTCATAAAATGTGAGGAGCTGTACGATCACACTTTTACCTTCCCGCGATCATCTGAGGTACCTGAAACTAAAACTGAAAATTGTAAGCCCGAAGCTTAGTGAGTTCCCCCAATATACCGATACATAACAAACAATACACATAATAACAGCATGTAATGGGTCCACAGCTCTACTGACTGGATTACCCCCTGGGCCCACAGTGTGAGTCTGGCTTGCCTTCCGGGCCCACAGCTCACAACTGGCTTGCCTTCAAGCCCACAGCATAAGTCTGGTTTGCTTTCGAGCCCACAGCTTATGACTGGCTTGCCCCTTCAGTCCTACAACTGAAACATAACTGACTTGCCCTCAGTACGAGTCTGGCATATCACTTGGTCCTCAACTCGTATCTGGTATGCTAATGAGTCCTTAGTATGAGTCCGGTATGCCTTCCCGGCCCTCAGCTCATATCTGGCATACTCCAGGGTTTGTTGGTCACTGCACGAGACAGTGCAACCTCAACCCTACTCACACACATGTCTACATATACAACTAATTGCACATACGGATAATCAAACAGTAACACAGGTAGTCCTACAGATCTACCTAACTGGCATAGCAAACTAACATGCATAATCATCTCATACTCAACACGTAATCAACTACTGGGATATCAAATCCAATGGGTCGGCCTTGGTGCCTTAGACCCCTTAGTATAGTGAGGATAACTCACTTCTCAACTGACTAATCGAAGTGATAAACTCAAACTCTCGAACCACGGCCACAAACTCCACCACCTATATTTACCATAAAATCATTTCCATAAATTTTCAATTTACCAAAATACCCCAGAAGTCAACTAGTCAATCCTTGGTCAAAGTACAGTCAAGGTCAACAGTCCATGTTGACCCGACTCGTCGAGCCCTTCCTGAACTCGAGAAGTCGTGAAATCCCCGGTTGACTCGTCGAGTTTCCCTGCAACTCGCCGAGTTCATGCATGTCCAAATGTCGGGAAAACCCTAGCTGACTCACCGAGTCACCCTACTGACTCGCCGAGTCCATGCAGAAATCCTTGCACGACAATCTTCATCGGACTCGCCAAGTTGGCCATGCAACTCGTCGAGTCCCTTCAGCCCTTTCTCCATCCAGACGATTTTAAGCCACTTTAAAGCTCCATAATGCAGATCTAAGCTCTTAAGGCATATTCTTACGTAAAGTTGCAAACTTTACATACATGCAAGGTCATAATGGCCCAAATCAAGCTAAAGAAAGGTTCTAAGGGATGAAGAAGGTATTAACTCACTAAAGGCTGAAACTTTATGATCTTACAAAACCAAGATAAGCCTAGATCTGAAGTTGCAACTTCAGCTCACGCCTAATACCCAAAATAATATATCAACATTACCAAAGTGCCCCTAATCTATCACACCCCCGAACCAGACGGCGGAAACGTCCGGGGGCTTGCGCGTGACTTCATCTTGTAATATCATCACAATGTATATAATTGAAACAAGACAACACCATCATCATACATCTCAAAATACAACCATCATTGTTTACATCAAGTATAGTATCATAAATTACATGCCAAAATGTTTAATGTATGACGATGACAAAATATAACAAATTCCACATTTCCTGCTGACCTTTCTGCTTAACAATTCCCTGAGAATACAAGTTATTTTGAAAAACGTAAACATATATAATGTTGGTGAGTTCATAAGCATGTTTGAATGAAAAAGTTTTGTATTGTTAATAAAACACCAGAAAATCCGATATTTTCTGTATAATAGTATGATAGTAATGTGTCAAAATCAAGTATTAATGCATGTGTGTTTTCCGTTTTTGAAAGGTATATAAAATGTAATCTGAATAAAAATATTGTATTTCTGTAGTAAGTAAAAGGCATTGTTTAGCTGTGTATTTTCCCAGAAAATCCTATATTTTCTGTTTATAAATGTGTTGTGGTCTCAACCCTAAGACTGAATATCAGTGTATGTATGTTTTTGTATCAACAAGATTTTATAGGTGTTTCTTAAAATTATGTTGGAGAGGATCTCTAAGTGAGCCGTTTTAACCATACTTGATTATGACGAATTCGCCTGTCGTGGCGTTCTTAGGCGCCGGCTTGATTTACGGTAAGGTTTGTCACCTTAGACTGGCCTAGTCTAACTGTAGCGAACAGCTCAGGTGTGGGGTATCACCCCGTATAGATCTATACAAAAACTCTCGCTCTCCCTCCAGGAGACTCTGGTTATAACTACAGGCTACGATCGTACACTCTAGAGGTGTCAACCGACATGTCTCACTAGCAACATTGACTTAGTTTACACGATTTTTGTATTATGTTATATAATGTTTACTTGTATGTTCTATGTTTTAAGAAAAATCCAACGAGTATGTATATGAATGTACGAGGCCCAAAAGACATGTAGTAAGACCACTATGGTCCAGTAAACATGTAATGTATAGTTTAGGTCCAATAAGCATGTATATGGGCCATTAAGGCCCAATAAACATGTAATGTATAATCCAGGCCCAATAAGCATGTAAATGGCCCACTAGAGCCTATTAACATGGATTATATATGTTAGGCCCAAAAACATGAAAATTTACACCTTTAGTCCAATTGTATGTAAGTTGATATTTTTGGCCCAAGTAACCATAAATTGATGTTTTCGACCCATTAATATAAAATTTACATTTCCAGCCCCTTTTTAAATAAAATCACATTTTCGGCCCAAGTTTTGTAAAAATAACATTTTTCGGCCCAAGTTTTGTAAAAACAACATTTTCGGCCCAAGTTTTGTAAAAACAACATTTTCGGCCCAAGTTCAAATAAAGTGTCATTTTCAACCCATAAAATTGTAATTTACATTTTTGGCTCAAGTTTGGGTTAAATGACAATTTACTCCATGAAAATCTTAAATTTTACAATTTTGGCCCAACAAAACCGTGAAGGCCCACATTAAGGCCCATAATACAAAATTTAACACTTTTTAGCCCTTTTAAAACTATGTTTATCATAAAGAACCACTCTTATGTATATTTGACTCTTTTAGTCCATGTAAAACCGTAAGTTTCATAAGATCACCTTCTTTTTGTTTATTTGTCAAAAATGGTCCCTTTGCAAGCTTTTGTTTAGTTTTTCCAACATTCTTAACATGTTTAACACTTTTAGCTTTGTGGTAAGTTGTATAGAGTGTTTTAGTTTACATATATTGTTGAGATCTATGAAGTTCTTCACAAAATCACACATATAA